CCGCGGCGCGTACCGCGCTGCTCGTGTCTCATCCTTGTCTACTTACTACCCACTAAAAGCTGTGTTGTTCATTTTCTTCGGTACAGCTATACTTCCTCCGATGGTATTCGCTGTGTCTTTATTGCTTCAACGATCAGCTTTTTGGGAATTCCCTCGTCTATATTTGTTAGCAGAGCTCCGCCCGCTGCCCCTACCTGCTTTATGCCCGCCTTAGCTGATTATTCGCTTGTAGCAACTTCCTACGTCCCCGATGTTTCCTTGCCCCTTCTGTTTTCCTGTCATTTTTTTAAGCCTCTTTCTGCTTCCATTGCCGTTGATTGTTTCAGATCAATCTATTTGCCCCCCCCCCCCCCCCCCCCCCCAAAGACTTTCCCACTAGGGAATTGACCTTATTATACATTCGCAAGTAGGAGCTGACAACGAAAAGGGAAAAGATAAAAAAGGAAGGAAAGTTGTCAGCTGTAGGCTACTATAAACCATAACACTCACCAAAGCCATCGATATCTACATCATGCTCGATAATGATGTCAAGAAGGTTATCCCCCACCTTGGCTTGCACTTCTTGCTTCTCACCATCACGCAAGAGGAACGTCACATTTATTCTGGAGCATAAATATTCACATCTCATATATATATATATATATATATATATATATATATATATATATATATCTATATACACAATGTTATATACAGACAAATGACACTCACATATACTTTTAATCTGCAGAAAAACACAGAAATAAAAAAATGACAGATTTAAACAAACTGAAACAAATGATAATCTAGATCTATATGAAATGTATATATCTAAAAAATAAAATAAATGACCGACCACCCATTGCCGAGGAGAATCATAATACAGAAAAAACACCAGGGGGAAGTGGGAATTGGTTATTTGAACAGGTGATTGCCTTAAACAGTTGGTCTTTTGAGTAGACACAACTGAATAAATGTATGTAGACAAACACAGAGGTTCAGAGACAGGGAGAAGGAGAGAGAGAAAGAGAGAGAGAGAGAGAGCGGGAGAGAAAAAAAAAGAGAGAGAGAGAGAGAGAGAGAGAGAGAGAGAGAAAGAGAGAGAGAGAGAAAGATGGAAAAAAAGAAAACACCAAAGAAACTGATGACTTGTACAAAGAGAGAGATGGTATTAGTATTAGGCTTCACTGGCATTCAATGTGTCACTGTGTCATATAATGTCATGGACATTCTTTATTTACTAACCAAATCAGTGTGGTCTGAACTTCCTGGACAACTTCATCCTTGAAATACGATTTATGATGATCATTTTATTTGGCAAATAACACTTTTATGGTGACAATTTATCATAAAAGGAATTAGACCCTTAAAAAATCTTTTAAATTGGTCAGAAAGACTCAAAATTTCTTGAAGCAAAAAAGATACACCCCAATAAAAAGCAAAAAGAACAGAATTTTGTTCCTTTTTTACTTATTTAAAAAAAAATCGGAGTCTATAATCTGCTAACATTCCAAATAACAGCACAAAACTCTCTGGACCTTACAACATCCTGCCCCCCCCCCTCCCCCCCCCCCCCGCCATGTTAACTATGTGCACTTTAAGAAAATCCAAAGATAGCGAGGTTACAGAGGAGCAAGGGAAAGCCACGTGTTGCGCTGTTCCAATCACGTTAACACTTTAGCAAGGTTCATCAGAGCTGCTCTTAAGATGGAGAACCTCGCTAACCAAAGGATGTTTTGTCACCCACTCGCTGGATCGAAAAAGTAAAGTAAAGTAAAGCAGTCATCCAATCAGATTGCATAATAAAGCGCACAAGTAAAACACACACTTCATAGCAGGGTTGTGGCTAAGGCCCATCACAATACATTGACAAAATTTGATTGCCTAAGGATTAACATTAACAAAGTCATAGGGTTTTTTTTGTCTCTCCAGCAAACTTCTAAAATTCAAGTTATCCAGGGTCCAACAGAGTTCCGGCATTACACAATTCATACACACATGAATGAAAGCAAAAAGCATCTGCTTTCTTCAGCTATGAGTTCCCACACAGATAAGAAGTCTTTCCGTGAACGAGTTTCACAAAATAAATGTAGCCTGCAGAGTGAACCAGAAGCCTACTTTTTGTGATTTCTTAGGAAATATCTTTCCATTTACCCTTTGCTCCACATTTATGCACTTACTTAACTCTAATCAGAGACAATACTTTGCACTTTTTAATCTAATGGTCAAATAATCTCCCCCCCCCCCCCCCCCCTACCATTTTTGGGGGATAAATTTATTTTCACTATTATTTGTATTTTTGTTCCTTCAAATTTGGCTAAAAACATTCTCTTCATGGGGGGGGGGGGGGGGGGGGTG